GGTTTTCTCAGACTCACTACTCCTAGATATCCAGGTCCTATTTCATGAACTGCTTCAGAGCAGTTTCCATCAACCTTGTATTACCCGTGACAGGGAGGCCGCTGAGATTTGGTGTTAATGGAATGTGTGTTTACTGCTGGGAGATGTTGGTGAGCATCGTGCTGGCTGTGACCGTCCGGTTCATTCCAGAGTAGAAACTCTGAGGTCAGTTCAGAGAAATGAACAGAGCTGTAACACATTATTACAGGATTTTCCATAGACCAATACCTTCTCACTTTCTCCTTTTGTTGAGTTCATTGTTTTCTTCTCATGTTTACACATTTCAAATAGACAGACAGATGTTCTCTCTATGAACTCACTGCAAACATTCACCCAAGGAGTATACATATCATATGCATATTCATTTTTTGCAGCTCCTGACAGTCTCTAAAACCTCCTTGAACATTGGTCACACATCACTTATTTCCATCTACAAGTTGCTTTTGTGCCAGTTCTGAGACTCCCAATGCAACAGGACATGAATATATGCAAATATGTGAGTCTCATTATGCGTCTGACTTGTCTTTGGTTCAATCTGTCAGTTTTAATGGGCCATTGGCAATTGAATTACATAACGTTTGATGTTGATTGACAGTTTTGATATTTGGATTGTGTTAACTGGTGCTCTGACAGGCAAGTCAAACAGCTGTCAGACCATCCTGGTCTGTCAATCGTTGATCTTACTCATCTTGCCCTGCTGACATAGTGCAGACAACATCACGGTCTTATTGTCTCGCATTGTCATGGTTCTTACTGGATGTGGAGTCGTTGACTTTTGGTCTTAGTTGATTGGGCTAAATAAGAGAAAAAAATATTAATACCAGATTGGTGTCATGGGATGCCAAGCAAATTAGTGCTATAGCCAGGCGGTTAACATGATTAATATCTAAGGTCAGATTCCATTTCAGTCAGTCAGTGAGCCATTACCCCCATATGGTGTGAGGGTCAGAGTTAAAAACTGCTGTACTGTATAAATACTATTTATACAGTACATCAGCTTTTAATCTCTAGAAGTGTGTTTAAGTGTGCAGTTAGTCATTTAGTGCAGAAGTCCCTACAATGTCCTTTTGTCAACGTTAATTTTAATCTACTTTCAAGATGCAAATACAGAAATATTGTGTATATTTCCCCCGGTTCTACACACACATTCTCACACAACACAGGGAACAGCGGGTTGAGATCTGAAAATGAGATTTAGGAAAAATGGTTGTATCTGTATCTGTATCTGTTTTCCTCCACACGCTGTATAAATACAATGGGCTATTTGTCAACTATGACGCTGATACTCAACAGTAGTCTGTGCTGCAAGACTTTCGGTGTCACCCTGTGGCTTTTATAAAAATGCGATTTAACCACAAAAATTGATTTTCTGTGAGTGAGCGTGAATTACTGTGTTTCTATTGCCTTCTTACACATCCATGTAGAGCAACATTAATATCATGTTTTCTATCACAGCAGATATGAACAACACAGCTTCTGATTTTTTGTGTGTTTTCTCTCTCCTTTCCCTCAGTTCTTAGCCATATTTTTAAAGGATTTTAGGATAAGGAAACTACAGTGTACAGTCTGTGTTGTACTGTATACTATATCTGAAACCTTCTCACTGTTTTTAAAACCGTGTTCAGAACAGCTATGATTACACTGCAGCCCCCTTTTCTCTGATTTCATCTCACCATCTCAGCCTGCACTGGCTTTTATGTGAGGAAAGAAACAAAAGAAGAGTTACAATAGCCGGGTTTTATTTCACGATCCTCAGCCTATTCAGTATTCAGGGGAGGCTTATACTGAAAATGCAACGGGTACGACTCTATACAGTATGATTGCTTGTCTGTCTATTCATGCCAACTCACAGTACGAGTAATCTGTGCTATTGTCCTCTTCATTCCTCCACAACCCAGTCTCTGCAGGGACTTTTTAAAGTTGTTGTCGATTCTGGCGCTCAGGAAGAATCATATTGTCAGGAGGCTTCTGTCCAATGTGACTAAAAATATCTGTACTGCAGGAGTGGCCAGTCCAAATCTAGATTTTTTTAATTTTTTATTTTTTTTAATTAATTTGTTTAATGTGCGGTGCCAGCCAGGCAATGTATGATGAACCAAATCTGTAGTTTAAGGAAATAATTAAAATGCTCATAAGGTGGTGGGGATGTTTGGACTTCAGGTATGAAGGGAGGGAGTTTAAAGAGGCTGTTTAAAGTCTAAATCGTGAGAGAGAGGAGGAAATATTGCGACACATATTACGTTTTATGTCCATATCCACACAATACAGGAGGAAGCTCTATAAAATCAAAGTTAAAAGCTCTGAAACTTAGAAGAAGAATAAATAAATCAAATAGTGTGTTTGTGCCAGCTGAGTCCATCAAACATGTTGCAGTGTGTGTGTTAAGAATCAACTTAGTCTCGAGATATCTTCTTTCTTGTTGCATCTTTCCTGTGCTGCTGTAATAAAACGTACTCTGGGCTATCAGTTGTTAGTTCTGTGAGAGTATTTGACATTGTTGAAAATATGCTGCTCTAGAGTCAGGCTAATTGAACAATAAAGCAAAGTAATCTCCCTGTGTGCATAACGATACAAGCTGTAAGGAATTTTCAGTACTCAATTAATTTTGGAACATAACTCATTTTAATGTTTTTCTCCTTTTCTGAGAACCTCCGGGCAAGGCTTTTGACAGCTGTTATTTGCATAGTTTTCCTGGGAAAGGTCTGTGAAATGATCTTGATGTGTTGACAGTCAGATGCAACAGTTCCCCAGGGCTCTCATGAGCAATAACTCGGTACGGTAGGAACCCACATGATCCATCTTATTGTCCATCACAGGCAGTGAGCCAGCAAACGTTATCAGCAAATATATGTTTTTCACATTGAAAGGGTTGGATTTCCTCTCGCCAGTATGTGCCATTAACCCTGACATACTTTCTTATGCCGAAAATATAATAATATATAATATATATAACACAACGCTGTAGTTTTTCCCCAAAAAAAACAGTTTTGTCTTATTCCTTTTAGTTAAGTAGAAACACAGGCAGTTGCAGAGTGAATCTTTTCGGGGTGTAAGGATGGTTACAAACATAAATACACACACCCAGAGAGTTGCATAGAAGGATACTCATAAACTTGTATTGTTGCCACCGGCTCATATGGTTTCAAACTAACTGCTTAGAAAGGGCAGAATGCACTTCTTTACTCCCCTATCTAGAACTTCAGATTTGAATTGGTAGTTGTGAACCAAAAGGCTTGATGATATTGAATGAACAAAAAGGAACTTTTTTTATACTCGGCTAGAGTACACGGTATACATTATCTAGGACAATGAGATGCTTCTGTAGCTATCAATCTGCTCTCTGATGAAACACTTTGTCTGTGTATTACATGGAATCGACCTTCAATAGGCTTCTCTGACATCAAACTGATTTTGCAGTGAGAGACAAGTGATTCAAAAGACCCAGAGAAATGCATGGCCTTGTTGTACATAAGTAACTTACATCAAAATCAAATTTGTTATGTTCTGGAGCATGACATCATCTGTGTTACCAATCTGCTGCTGAGATTCATCTCAACAGTGTTACAGTACAGACCAGTAAACAAGTCAGCAGAAGTACACACCTGAGGCCATAAACAAATCAAATGAAAAAAACAATGGTTCCTCACACAAAATATAAAAACTCTTCCACTGCTCATAGGAGTCTGAACTCCTCTGTTCTGTCCACTGTGTTGTTGTAAACATTCATAACACTTTGGCGAGCTGCCACCAGTTCTTGCAAGACCTCCCCTAGGTCTCCAGACCCCCTCTTTGATTTGTGTCCTTTAGTGAAGTCCAGGTGGCCAGCTGAGACACTGCAGGTAAACATTTGCCCAAATCCAGAAAACACCCACTACCTTGAGAGACACATGTGCTAACATTTCTGAAATAACCAAACGGGTACAAACACAGTGGAGTGGACTCCCTGCTGATGAAATTTACACTGGCTACATTTGCACCTCTGCTGGCTTTGTGCCTGTACGAAAATAGAAGCCCTAGTGTGTTGAGTCTGGCTGTGCTAATCTTGCTGCCTGCCATCTTCACAGGTGTACTGTCTGACATTTGGATGCTTTGTCCTCCATGCGTCTAACAAATCAAACTGGCTTCCTATTTTTGGAAAGATGAGTCAAAAGAGACTTTTGTTTGTCCTGTCCTGTCCAAGGTAGAGTCCTTTATTCATTTCCTTTCCAGTACAATACTGTCAATGTGCTTGCACTGATATGTAGTCACTGACCTCTCTCAACTTCTTAAAAAAAGTCTTTTTTTCTGCAACATAAACACTGACAAAACACAAGACCCTGCCCTTTGTCCCTGCCAAAACAGAACCAACCACACCTTCACCTTTCTTTAATAAATAATAAATAGCAAAGACCTACCTCGATAAAAAGAGAACAGGACTTCTATTTATCAAGCATCTAAGAATAATTTCAAGGAATCGCAGAGAGTCAAAAACGGACTAAAAATACCATGAATGAATGTTTTACACTTTCACACTCAATTATGTTAATCATGGCGTGTTGTAGTTTTTAATCAAGCAAAACATCAACAAAAACACTGCCAGACTGAACCACGCTTAATTTGATGCAATACAGACTAAACTAAATATTGGAAAGTGTCCCTCTATGACACAAACATCAAAACAAAAACCCAAGAAGCAAACTTACTCTTTGCCATTAACACAGAAAAAGCAGCAATGACGGGAGAAAAGTAATCAACACTTTCATTGGCCTCAGATTCACTAAGCAGCAGTTGCACACCCTCACTAACAGATTCCGAGCATGCAACAATAGAGACAGACAGAGAGAGAGAGAGAGAGAGAGAGAGAAGGAAAAACACTGTATATCTGCAGTTCAAACAGCCTGCTGCACAGCTCTGGCTTTTGTGTGTCCTTCTTCATGTTGGTTGATGTATAAATGGTGTGCTCTGCTTTGTATATTTTTCAGGTGGCTGTGACAGGGGCACCCCCGGGGCAGGACCCATGAGGAGTCATAGAAGATGCTCACAGCCTGGGCGCTTCTGCTCTTCTTAGCCATGTGGGTGAGAAGCACCTCTGGTGGCCCGCTCTCCTTCAGAATAGGTAAATTTGTATGACTAAATTGCAATATTGTACAGTCTGGTAGCAGTGGAGAAACTGTTGCAGACACATGTTGACCCGGGAGGTCTTATTTTTAATGGTTTAGAGAGAGAGAGATCACAACTCACTTCTAGAATATCCATATACTACAGGCATAAAAGGATTTTATTTTCCATATTAATTGAAAAAAATATGTCAATGAATGAATTTCCAATTTTAATGATCAAGTTTGTGTTTAAAGCAAATTGCTGTTCAAGTTTCAGCTCAAATTGATGGAACAGTCTAACTTCACAGTCTCTCATGGGAAAATTGGCGCAAGGAATTCAATCAAAAGAAAAACCAATGTTTCCCATATGGTTTGAGGTATCAAGTGGCTAAAAACTGTGTGGATATAACACAGTCCTAATTGGCTCTGAAATACAATAGGCCCGGCATAGACGAAAAACAAAAACAAATTAGTTCTATGGTGTATTGCCGAGAGAAATTAATAAAATATCTGTGTAGAGTTAATCATTTAAGGTCTATTTGACAATAGACATCCATTGCACAAATATAATAACACTTTCTTTCTCAAATGTCTAATAGATATCAACAGATTTTTACTAGTAGTGCAATCCAAGTGGAACTGGTCTATTTGGAATATGTAACCATAACCGTGATCTTAGTCCCGGCTCTTTTTAAATCCTGATCTTAATAGATGCTTTAACCCAGATGTTAAACATGTTCTATATGCTGCTTCGCCCACTGTTGTGAATGTCAGGTGAAGCTCAGTAGACGTTTCACTGACACATTATAGCATATATATTGCCATTGTTGAGCATCAACACTGGACCATTTAAAATAGTAAATAGCATGTTTAGTATAATTTATGGCTAAGTCATCGGCATTGTTACACCAGCAGTTTGAATAGTTTAACACAACAGCACGAAGTCTAGCAGAGACCACTGTGATATTCTGCGTCTGGATATTGTGGCAGATTGCTGGACCACGGTTGAAACTGACTAGACGTTGCAGCTGAGAGGGCATGGTTCAAAAGTCTCATAACCTGCCAGAGTCAGTTGGTAACCAACGGGACTTTTTCCTTCTTGTTATTATTCTCCTACAGTCAGGAGGTCGCTGACACCCTGTCACTAGTTCCCCCGTCCACCAAAAGTTTGACTGACACTCTCTTTATTTATTTATTTATGTATAAACCTCTTGTCTTAGGTGTGTGTGTGTGTGTGTGTACTGTATATTGAAACAAATAGGTGGTAAAGATATAATTGATTATACAGCTTACAGACTGTCATCCCATCGTTGTCTATGAGTGGCTTGTTTTATATTTATAGCACGGTTGTCAACTTTCAGGAACAGGCAGCTGACAGGCAGATTTGTTGTCAGGAGAAAAGGGTGGAAGTTAATAACTTAACATCAATATACAAAGCCCCATGTGGTTATTGTAAGGCTATTTAAACATCAAGCAAAGTCAAAAGGGTAAAAGTATTGAAAACAAATAGTTTGCCTTTGTGCAAGCTAGTCTCTTCTCGAGGCGTGAACTGAATCCAGGACATTATGACACAGCAGTGCAGTGCACTCACTTCTGGAGGAATGTGTTTCAATGATGATGAAAACATTATTTAGTTTAACTCAGAGACATTTCCAGCTTTACAGGCTCATAAATGCATATTGGATCTTTAATGCAGCCTATTTCTGATCTTTCCCTTTGATGTTGACTTCTCCTGTTGTGTGAGAGAATCTATTTATCCCTCCGGTATTTGGAGCCTTGACAAAATGGAGTTAGTTCAACTTTCAACTTGAAACAGTATCGTGTTCTGTCATTTCGTATTTTTGAGCGAGACATGTTTTGTATCACTCTCCTGCCGTGTTTCACAGCTCTGACAGCACAGCTAAGGATTTTTATTGGTTTTGCAAATAATCTCTATTTTGAAAACAACACAGGTTCAAAGTTTATTGTATCAACAATCTTTACTTTTTCGTGAATATTGTTGGATAAAGGACTCTGCATTCTCCTCCACCTTCCACCTGATTGTACAAAAGCATCTCCGCAGTGATGGTATTTTGCTTGATGTTTATCTCAGTCATGTTGCGTCGTTGCTGGATAATTAAGCATGCGACCTGTTGCTTTTCTCCTAATGTCCTCTACTCACAGCACCAGTCTCTTTGCAAGAGTAATGTCAGTACGTGTTTGTTTGTGCTCTACTTATGTGTGTGTGTGTGCGCGCGTGTGTTTATGCACAAAGCCCTAGATATGCAAAAGCAAAGACACAGACAGCCACACACACATTTCAAGGCACACCAAGGCACACAAACAACCACATACCCCCAAACACCACAACAAACTCCCTGCCATTTGTGCTCCGGGAGATGGTATTTAACGTGGCTGTCCCTCGAGTGCTGCCTGGCTGGCGTAATGTCACTGTCTGGCCTTCTCTGAATGTATCAGGGCCAAAAACAACCTCCCGCCCCTGCCACATTCCCACCAGGACCATTCGGCAGCCAGCAGCAAGCTCAGTGAGGAACTTATCTTTGTCTCTGCTGTGATGTTGGCAAGTCTGGGGATAAAATGGACTTTCATTTGACTCACTTGGCATGTATGGTAGGTCTACATGCCCCCTGATAGACCTACTGATTGGTAAGATAGGTACAAATGAAAGGTTACTTTCATTTTATTGTTCCCCTGCGGTGTAAACTCCTGGTGTTGTTGGAAGTTGTTTCAGCGTAATGATAGATTAATTACAGCGGCATTGATTCAAGAGAGTATAAATAATTGAATTTGCGTCAGTATAGCTTCTAATAGGAAATACCACACAGACAAGTGACGTTTTAACTAATTATGAATGGCATGTAATAGAATAGCTCAAGGAGATGAAGGAATGAAATATATTAGTTGAAATCAATTCATGCAATGACAGAAAATTCCGTTGAGAAGACCTGTTATTGATTCAGACATGAGTAAAACATTTAAACAAGAGACGATTTGCATAATATTACATCCTTGTTCACTACCATATGGTGCAGCTTCTTGTTGCGGGTGGTATTCCCCATTGGTACAGTGAAAAAACATCTGCCATCTACTTTCTTCCAGCCGAATAAGCGACTGCTTATGCTAACTTGGGGAAATCATCTTTCACACACATGTCACTGCTACGAGCTGGTGTGCGTTACAGGGAGTGAACATGTTGGAAAATAGTCAGGAGAACCACATAGTCCTTCATTAGAGCTACATTCGTCAACACTGTCAATTGTTTCCGACACTGCAGAGCCCTCACTCCATAAACGACTCATGCACAGACACACACACACACTGCCTCTGTCCAGTTCAATATCAGAATATAAAAGACAATTATCTTCTATTCGTAAATCAAAGGCAGTAGGAAGTGTCACCGGAGATGGATTGTTTTTCTGTCTTTCAGCACCTATTGAAAAAAACTAAATGGACTTTTGTGTAAGCAAAATTGTGTAAAGTGATCATTAAGATTTTAAACATGTTTTTCTTTTTTCTTTTTTTCTTTAGCATGATTAACTATTTTACTTCATATTAAGGGATACCAAATCAGAGTTTGACAGCCAGGTAGAGGATGTTTCTGTTCATGAATAAATCCAGACCGGCAATCACATCAGGTTGTCTCCTCTGTCTGAAGCCCTCAGAATGTTTCCTAGCGTTGGTCTTTACCACAGGGAAGGGCTTCTCCTTTGAGACCAACGTTAAATGTAGCTGTTAGAAACCACTGGGTATCGGCTCACACAAGTGCCAGATATCCTTTCGCTCAACTTAAATGTGCTGTCTGCTAAGAACAGGCTTTGGAAATATTTTTTCGAGCATGTGTAGTCTCTCTGTAGTATGGATTAATATCTAGTGTTATGGAAAGTAATCCATTGCTAATTAATTGCTAAATATTCATGTATAGATCAATCAGTGACCTGTTTTAACTGTGTGCATGTTATTCCACTTTTAAATCTGTCAATATGTACTTTGCTTCATTATCATTGAATGTAATTTTTCAAGACATGTATTGTCAATATACAACCATTTATTTGGAATGAGTTATGCAAGGGGTGGCAGGGGAATCTAATAAAAAAACAGATATTTTACTGCCACTGACATTTCATGAAAAAACACATTTCCTATTATTGGGTCCACGGGGACACCTCGGGAGCTAGGCTGTCTATGTTTGTTGGTTTTCTTTGCCCATTTTTTCATTAACTTTTTTTGCCTCTCCGATGCCCAGGGGCTTCCTTAACAGATGCCTGTAAGTCATCAACTTCCTCCTCTCAATACAAAAACCCAATCTTTTCATTCCGCAATCATCCCAATTTGCTTCCCACCTATAGGTAATTACATATTATGTAATTTTGGCTTTTTATATTCATAACGGTTTTGACGATTTCTGCTTGGATTAAAATGAGAGCATATCTTTTGTATAAGACATGCGAGTGAAAAACACGTCTGATACACTTGCAGCCTAGACAGGTATTCAGTTATTTCTTTTTTTTATTATTCAGTGTATGAATTCCACATATGATTGTTTCTATAGTTGTTACATATCAATATAGAGTTGTATCTCAGCACTTGTGAAAACAGCTATGTTGCCAAGTGTTTGAATGGGTATGAATATGGGCAGGTGGCACCTTGCATGGTAGCCCCTGCCATCAGTATATGCATGAGTATGAAAGGGTGAATGACATGTAGTGTTAAAGCACTTTGAGTGGTTGGAAGACTAAGTGCTTTACAAGTCCATTTACCATTTACCAAGTTCAGAGGTCATGTCATCAGCTGACAACCAACTAATTTATACAAATAATCCCCAATCAAGTTTGACACTTAATTGACCCTTTGCTAAGTCCCGCCCCTTGAATGTAGACTGGTCAATCATAGCGCTGTAAACAATATATATGCAGGAAGTGCAATAAGTGACAGTGTGGGCTCCATGGTCAGTTTGACTTAGCGAGTGGTTAATAAGATCAAAACTTCAGACTGCTGCTGTACTCACATATCACACACA